CATAGTTCATAAAAAGTTATGAGTCAGTCCAACACCTGGGGAGCATCTGTAGCTGCTCTCAAGTAGGCGGGGCTTGTCACTCCAATGCCTGAATAAGAAGTTGTGTGGTGTGTGCCAATGAGAAGTATCTCCTCTCATTGGCTGATAAATGATGAGCTCTAGCGCCACGTCTGAATTATGAATATATCTCATGTAACTGTTTAGACCTGTTGCTGCCATGATTTTTAATGACTTATTGTGTGGACAAGCTTATTTATGTGTGATTTGAATTTCATTTCTTATTTAATGGAAACTCAGCAGCTGCAAAGTCATGACTTTTAGACATTAGTAGAATATATACAAGGGTTTGTACACATTTGTAATGGAAGCTACTGATAAAGAAAATAAGCAGAAAGAGAGAAGACAGAATAAAATAAATAATGGTGAAAATGTGCAGCCATGAGTGGCATCAAACTTTAATCTAGGCTTCCAAAAAGAGCTGGAGCCGACTCTGCTGCTGATGGTCTGCTTATAGACCATCAATAAGATTGAAATTCTATGTTTTTACACTCTGGAAGCCAGGCTTTGTCTTTAGGGACTGTGTTTGTGTCCAATAAATAAAGTTTCTCCAACAGTGCCTTTATTCATTGGATGGTGAGCTTATCAGAAGCTAAATCAATAGAGCTCTTTATTCACATATGGAATACTGTATGTATTTAACAGAGAGGTGGCTGGCCGACTCCGGTCCTCAAGAGCCTGCATCTGGCATGCTTTAGATGTTCAGCACCTCTTAATAAAATGAATGATTCATTATGGGGCCTCTGCAGAACTTAATGACAAACTGAGAAGGTAATTCATCCATTAATCCAGCTGTGTTGGAGCAGGGACACATGTTGGACACCAGCTCTGAACAACTGAAATCAGCCATATAGCAAACAGCTGGATAGATCTGTCTCCCTCTATGCGTGGTCTTCCCAGTCAGTAACCTTTAGTTTTATCATTTGTGTCTTTATGTGTCTTTATTTCAGTGCATTGCCTCATAACAAAATGCTGCAATCACAAGAAAAGGTAGCACCGTTATAACCAGATGCTGATGATAGATTGTCCCTAAAGAGTAACAGAGGCAGAGCTGCTGCTGCTGGAGGTGGGGAGGAAGCTGCCTCTCCTCTCTGACACGGCTGCAGGGTCTAACAGTTAAAGGACCAAAGTTGATAACAAAAACAGCTTGCTTATCCTGACGGAGTAATGAGAGTAACAGTCTCCAAAGGAGAGTCTTTCCACAGAGTGTGTTCATTCAAAAAGAAAAGCTTTGCACAAGGGGGTGGGAAAGAATAATTCATGAATAAGAAAGTGAAACAAAAATAGCGATTCATCTCATGGCATCTCTTGAATGCTAAATATAAGATGGAGGGCAATAATTTTGGAGCAGGCCCAGACAGAGTTGTCAAACTTTGTACAATTACTTTCCTTTCGCTTGTCATGTAGGGCCTGTACGCAAATGAAATATTAATTTTGCATAATAACTTTCAAAGGGGAATTAAGAATAGAGTTAATTATTAATAACATGTGTATAGACATTTCTCTTTTTTGTGACGCACCAAAGACAGTTGCCATTCAGAGGAGGAGAATCCCATAATGCCACTCTATATCAGTAATAACAATCTCTAAACACTGATGTAAAGTCTGTGAAATATCTAACCCACATTTCATGAGTGAAACTTTACAATGCTGCACACTTACTTTTGGAATACTTGACATTGTTATGAAAAGTCACACATCTTTGCATCAGAAAGAAAATTATTTTTATACGCGTTTTCACAACAAACTTGGTTTTATTGCAATTCAGTAAATTTGTATGTCACTAGTTTACAGCCAATGTCATTTGAAGAGACTTTGCATGATCATTACATCCAGTTTGTATATAAGCAATTAACCTGAAAACTTTAACATGTTAATATTACATACCATAGATTAATCAAACTAACTATTTTGACCTAAAAGCTTCTGTCCAGCAGAGGGTTAGCTAGTTCAGCGTGTTATGCCTTGACAAACAACAGCGTCAGAACATTTTCAACTTTCTTGTGTTGCATCGATGGACCGCGTCTGTGTGTAGGAGCTCCAAATTTCTCAAATGACTTCCCTTACACCTTCCTCATTATGAAAATCTTGAAAACTTTTAATCTTTAGACATGTTTGGTTTGAGACAATAAAATATTTTCTTCAGCATTTTTTGAAAACCTAAATAGTGAGTGAAGGTCTGTTACATGGGCTGTACGGGCAGATGCCCTGGGCGGAATCAGAAAGGGTTGGGGCACCTTAGAACTAGAAAATAAAAAAAAACAATTGTCACCTTAATTCATTGAACCGAATTAAGTTGAACTTAGCTGAATTGAATAAATTGAATTGTCATTAAATACATAATTGGAAATTATCATCAGGGAGTTGTTTGGACAAAAATATAAAATGTTGAAAGCAGAGATAATGAGAGACTTTTTTTTCTTGAGACGTTTCCTTACAGTATGCAGAGTGTGTGTTCCAATTATTTGAACCATTATGTATCATACACCAATCAAGAGTTTGATAGGGTACATTCAATAAGTCAATATGACAACGAGAAGCCCAGAGTCCAGACAATGGGCTTGTCATTCTGGCTCATGTCTGTACCAGAGAGGCTTTAGGAGCTGAGAGTGAGCAGGCATGGAGGGAAGGAAAGGAGTCTAAGATGAGACAGATCGTTTCAGGGTCGACTTACAGAAATTCACACCGTAAAAAAAAAAAAAACAAGAGAGGAAAAGTGAGACTACTTCCCATTTTCTTCTCAAATCTTTTAGTTTAATTCAATTGAACCTTTCAATACCTATTTATGACACACAGGAAGCATTCTCCCAATTACATTAAGGGAAGAGGAGACAGATTAAGATGTGGATTCTTTAAAGCCCTTCACCACAAAGGGAGATAAAGTCAGATAAAAAAGGAGTGTGTTTCTTATTGTGTTCTTTCTGGAAGGGAAGAGAGGATTAAGTCGCTTCATATTGCTGCCTGTCTGTGCTCAGGAGGCAAAACACAGCCTAACACATTTAACTAAACTCAGCCTGCTGCCATGTTTCATATCTCTTCATGCTCTCAATATGTTGAAGTTATAGCCAGAAGTTACCAGTTCCTTTTAATCATTTCATTGGAGCTTTCTAAACAGTTCAAAATGAAATTGTTCTCTGAAAGAAGAACAGGAGAAAATAAACACTCAAATTAGTCATTTTTAATACGATTGTAATCAGATGTACAATCATGACATCATAAAACTAACAGGTCCAGTTGCATATAAAGTATAAGACTAGATTTGATGAAAAACAGCTTTCTGACTCAAACAGACTCCTGAATCCAGATTTAAATAATAAAGGGGAGCAGACTTTGTTCCACATTCCATCTTCTTCAGATTAGATTTGATTAGACACCGTAACATTTTATTTCAACATATATCCTTCTAATAATTACCCTGTTTTGTCTGAGTTTGGTGATGACTGTCTTGCCCCAGTCTGTCGGGGTAATAACCTTCCCCTCTCTGGCCTCCACACAAACGCTGCCAAGTCAAAAGCTTAGAACACAACACATTCCCTTATTGAGTAGCACCGCATGATGGCTCCCGGCGCTACCTTTGTTTCAGTCGTAGAGATGACTAAAATCGAGCATTGTAATGTGACACCCTTAATTTCATGCAACGTGGCAGGATTATGGATATGAATTGAATGCTCAGCTCTTTTTTGTGTTCCCATTTTCCCAATTAGGATTTTCTGCCTTCGTAATGATGCAAAAGTGTTCTGTTAGTCAAATCAGTGATAGCTATTTATATGAGCAATAATCTCTGAGCCGGCATCAAACTGTTAGAGAAGGAACTGCTTAAAAAAAAAAAGTGAAAGGAAAGATGGAGGCTCACTGCTTACCCAGGGACACGATAAGCAAGTGGAAATAAAACAAGTGTTTAAGGCAGGCCTTTTGGTAAATAACTTTAGCACCATGATCACCACCAGTTATGCTTGGATAAAAATGCTCAAATAACTACACTCCTTTTTTTTTTTCTTTTTTTTTTTTGCAAGCTGCAGCTCATTCCTCTGTGTCTTGTATTTCAACAGAATAGGGCATGAATGTCTGACAAGTGGGCTATCATCCAAGAGATCATTAAGCACAAGGGTTGAAGTGCCATCTTCAGTGCCATGGCAACAGGGTTGCGAGATGAGATAGAAACAATGCAAGGCAGGAGGCAGGGTTGGCGCTCAACGATTGCCACTGATGAATGGATTTCCCTCCCTCCCCTCAGAGGGCCAGAAACGGGAATGGAAGACCAGAACGGGAGGACGGCAAGAGAGAGAGAGCAGTTGGAGGAGAAAGGCCAAGCTGCTAGGGGCTTCATAGGTGCACTAACAGCAGTAACAGTATATCTTTAAAGCTCTGATTGTTTTCCACTCAAGGGTCTAATTGAACATGTCAAACAGAGCATTTGCATGGGAATGATTGTTTTTCTATGTTGTCATGCTGAGCCAGCAGTCTCACATCTGTACTGAAGAGCAGCAGCTCAATACTCACACAGGGCAATGAGAGTGGATATGTTACCCACCACAAAGCCAGACTTACACCATGAGTACAGTTAGAAATGGGTTTCTTAAATGGAGGCATGTCTACAACTATGTAGTAATTAACAGTTTTCTGGTTGTTGTGTCAGTAGCCCATTTGTTTAGCAGAATATTTGGGCTACTGAACTTTTTTTTTTTCTTTTTTTTTTTTAAATTCTCAACAAACAAACTTTGTGAAAATGTGGTGTGAGTTTTAACTGCATTGTGTGGGACAACATCATAATAACCCTGTAGATTAGCGATAAGAGGTCACTCAAATATTATTATTTAATATTTAGTAATTATTAATTATTATTATTGTTGTTATTATCATTATTTAATTTCTCTTTGGGATTAATAAATTGTTTTTGAATTTGAATTGAAATGTTTAATTAAACAATAGAATACTTTGGGCAGCAAAGTCAGGGATTCCCCCAGTGTAATATAAGCCTGGTGGGCCACCAGACTTTACATGTGCCCCCACCAGGATAAGCAATGTGTTTATCAGGGAGCAGCTGATTAACATGGCAAAGGCTGAAATAATACCTCACCTGAAGCCTCAAATCCCTGAGGAGGTGAAAAGTAGGCATCATGGAGTAAGAGCAGTGAGGAGGAAGAGAAGAAGGAAGTTCAAACCATTTCTTCTATCAATCACAGAGGGCAGTGGGAGATCACTGGCTAACAAGTTTGATGAACTCCAAAGTCTGAGAAGACTCAACCAGAGTATCAAGCATGCAGTATTGTGTGTTTTACTGAAATGTGATTGCAGGATCATATCCCCTACTCCAACATCTTTCTGCCGGGCTTCCTGACTTGTGAGCAGACATTTATGCTGCTTTCACACCTGACCGTTAGACTCACTTTGATTGGGGTCCATTTGTTACATTTTCAGCTGCTGTGGTTCTGTTTCTCACTGAACTGTTTCAAATGAATCAAACCTTTTGCAAAACCTGTACCTCCCCTTACCTTTGATGGCGCTGCACCAAGAATCACTGAAGAAAACGACATGCAAACTTCAGAAGAAGACACTGAACAACTGAAATACAAGCAAAAATGAAGTGCACCAGATTTTAGTGGTTGTAGGATTTCTCTTTTGTCTTTGGTAAAAGACCATGAGCCATTTCTCTTGCTAGTGTTTGTGTGTTTTGTTTGGTTGTATTTACCCAGAATGACTTGTTTTGTAGTTTGCTTCCTGCTTTTGGAGCGGTCTGGTCTGCATGGAGATCACAAATTCATTTGAACCGCATCAGAGTTCACTTCAACCGAAACCAGACCGAGGTTTGTAGGTGGACCAGAGTTCACTGTTCAGATTAGGTATTCACACCTCCCCAAACAAACTGGACTTTCTAGGCAGATGGACTGGGCTGATTAAAGTGGACTAAACATGGCTGGTATGAATGCACTGTTAAAGAGAAGTGGGAGAAGGAAAGGAGCTGGATTAGCAGTGCTAATGCACTTTGTTAATCCAGGACACATTACTATGAAGTGATATCTGGATGAATAGATCTATTTTTTTGTGGCCATTAAAAGCAGGTTTGTGCAGAATAGACCCAGCCTATCACACTCATCTTTGCTTTTCACATTACTGCTGCTGGAAAACTACAAAAGTCACCTGAAAAGCAGCGTTTGGTTTGTGCTCCCTCAAAATGCCACCAGGTTACAGCTGTTAAAAATTAAAAGAAATGCGTTTTGATTCATGTAATAAGCTCTCTGCCAGTCTCGCTTTGTCTGCCGCTGCCTATCAATCTGAGGTTGTAGGCAAATACGGAGAAGCACCAGCATACACCCACCAACACGCAGGCCTACAAAAGCAGCTCAAAGCCAGTTTGGGAAGTTGTCTCTCTCACATGTGCAAATCAATCTGCAGAGAACAATCTGTCAGAAAAATCTTTAGCTTTAAACAAGCTGCTGTGAACGGGATGAGGCCTTTTCTGTGGGGCAGGGCACTGCAGGGACTTACCAATAGCTGTCTTTATGCATCCCAGAGAGTCAATAAGGATTATGAGAGGAAGCTTTTATCTCTTCAAACACAGGGACCAGTCACTCATTTAAATGGATGAACAATTCAGGTATGCTCAATAAATATAAAAAGAATATTTGTTCATAAATACATTCAAATCCCAACTCCATTCAAATTCTAGTACCATATGCTTAATTTAAGATCTAATCTCCTTTTTTCTATTTCCACCAGTTCACTGAAAGCAAATCTTTGTACACATAGTTGTTTAAAAACCCAAAGGATAAACACAGACTACCTATTGTTGATGGCAAAGAACCTTCATCCTCAACTTAAGACCCACAGTTCCTTTGAGAGTGCTCCTGCTAGATGCCGTATGCAAAGCAGGTGCGCTGAGAAAAACACGCCTAACAAAAGAGACATTATTGCATTTCACAACCTCCCAAAAAGACGAGCTGAATATTAAAGATGACACAACTGTATTTACACATCATTTCATCAGACTTAAAATAACCTCATTTTTTTATCATGCTCTATCAAATAAAGGGAGGCAATAAAATCTGCCAAGAAGAGAACAAATAAAAGCAAATTTTGACATTTTGCTTTTTGATGCCTTCCATTTATAGGTCAGAGGAAACACCAGCCGACCTCTCATTGTTTCTTAAATGCCATTTTGTAAGGCTGGGAAGCAAGAATTAATTAATGCGTGGGTAGCTGCCACTGTCAAGAGGCAGCACATTAAAATCAATGATTAATAAATTCAAAACACACAACAAACTCAGCTGGGAGATGAAAATAGCATTGTGCGCTCCATAGGAAGCAGCCCCAGAGCACGTCCTCCCGCCGAACTGAGCGTCCACTCAGATGGCTAATAGAAAGTAGCCGTCGCCAGCTGTGTGCCTGTGAATAAAATCTCTTTAATTAAATGAATTACAATGGAAGAGGGAACCAGAAATGTGTGCTGTAGTATTGACAGGAAACCATGCCACACACAAACACACATTATGAAATCCCATAAAGATTTAAAATAACACTGAGCCTTTTGTACTTAGGTTATAAAAAAAAGGCTCAATCCACACATTCTGTGTTTAATCTACAACTGCTCTACGGTTCATGAATAGTGTGTACACAGCGTCTGGTTACTTTAGCAATAATGCTAACTTTAAAACCAGACAACAAAACACTTTCATTTGTCAGGTTTGCTACACTGCAATAGGTTTGGTTCAGTTATTGCAGTTTTTCTCAACTGGTTTGAAGTGGTTAAAGGAACTGGAATCCACTCATCACCGGCTCAGCAAAGCAGAACACACCTCCTGCAAACCTGATGTTGACAATGCTGACCAAGTCAGCATTGGATTTTTTATTATTTTTTTTTTAATTGAAAAAATCCAATAAATTCCAAACAAATAATTTTCAAGAAAAGTTGTACATTATACATAAAAAATAAATAAATAAAAACTTTAAAGCCCTAAATGAATGATAATGACTGTATGTAAACTTCTGACTGGAACTGCACCTTGGCAGAAATGGCTGGATAAATGAATGACCTATTGACCCTGTTCCATAACTCACACAGTCTGGCTTTGATTGAACCAAGTCAACTAATTGGATCAGACTGTTTCTAATGAAATAGAACATATGTCTCTTTTTTTTTTTAGTATTGGGTTCTGTGATTAGGTTATAAACAAAGAAGCCGATAACTCTCTTAATACAGATCATTATCTCAGAAATTGAAGCTAACAGCTTGTCCCAGACCAGTGCCAACAAAGGCACTGTTTACTGGATTCACCACCAGAAGGAGACAAAAACATACTTGAAATAATTTCACTTACCTGAAAGGTGCTGTCCAGGGTCTTGAGATCTGAGGGCAGGTGGGCTTGGTGAGGGGTGTAAACCGTCTTGCAGAAGTTGATGCGTAAGTTTCATTCCTGTCCTGTATGCTAATTATTAGTAGCTGCTCCCATGATACCAGAGGATAACTTTGTTCCTCAGAGTTTTTGATAAGCAGAAGTCACACATTGTCAATATCTTCTTCCACAGTTGTAAATAAGCCTGCATCAATAAAATATTTAGGAGTAAGAGAACAGAAACTAAGTCAGCTGGTAACATCAAAGTGTCTAATATACACTGGTGCGAGTTGTTTACATGGGATGGTGGCAAGGCCCTGAGGGAGGTCTGTCCTGGTTCTAACTTTGCTTAGCTAGAGCAAACAGCGCTGCTGCCATTTACAAACATGCAGAGAGAAAACCCTCCTCTGGAGACACTGAGAAGCCTGGATCTATGCGAGTGGTTACCAAGACTGCGTGTTGCTTATTCTCAACATCTAGAGCTCAAAACAGGTGGCCTGCATCTGACAGAGCACAAAAACAATGTTTGATGAAGTTGGTTTTACAAAAATGGACATTTAAAGAAACAAGCTTCATTCTTGATTGTAAAAACAAAAAGAAAAAAACCCAAACCCTCAGAGATGATAGATGGATGAATTTTGATAATCATGTTAGAAAAAAAGGAATCTAATAATTTGTAAAGAACAAACGAGATGCAATAAATCGCTTGAATAAGTGTGCACTCCCTCAAACACATTGGTGAAGTGTTTGGTAAGATTCTATCAGCATCACTGCTGACAATATTTTCACACAATACCTAGCAAAGGTTTTGAAAATATATCAAATTGTGAGATCTCTTGTCCCAATAACCTCAGATTTAGTTCTGAATTTTGTCTAGACAAAATTCAGAATGGGCACACCCGTGCCCATTATGACATAGGGCGAATGAATCCAACTGGTGAACGGCAAAGAACCAAACTGAAGTCAACATCCAAAGTTTTCCACCAGAATCCTGTCAATGAGCTTTGTTTGATACTCTCCATTTCTGTGGTTCTAAGAGTTTACAGACTCATGTTTTATTAAAACAATGTCAGCTTACACTGGCATTGTGCTGAAACTGTACAATTTGATTTGAGTTTCTTAATTTAAAACTAAACTTCTAAATTAAAAAGGGAAATTTGAAAAAAGTTAGGGGAATCGGAGTAAAAGGCATTGAAAACAAGTGCATGCCATTTCCAGATTTCTATTTGTAGAAACTTGATAACCCATGTATCCTCACACTAAACTCCAATAAAAATACATTAAAGTCTGTTGTTGATAGACAAAATGTAGAAATGTTCAACAGGAATGAAGGCCCATGAAAGGTGCAGTCAGAACCACTTCACTAACCAAGACTGGGCATTTTTGCACATTTATCAGTGATTTCATAACTGGAGGAGATTTATTACATCAAACGAGTTACCTAGATTTTTTATACAAGGGTAAAAAAAAAAAAAAAAGTTTATTGTAGAAATTCAAACCTTGTCCTGTCTTTGCCACTGAGGTCAGTTTCAGTTTACAAGGCAAACCAATACAGGCATTTGAGATTCACACAAGTGTTTAATTTTTGAGTTGCCCAACATTTTTACTTGCAGAAAAGCTTTGGGCCATTTTCATGATTTACCAAACATGAAATTTAAGATGTATTGGAAAACTTTACTATAATGCTAAAAAACTGGATTAAAAAATAATTATCTGAACATATTTTGTTAATTTTTTTTAAGAGTACATTAAGTTACTATGAATGGAATATGAATTGTAAAAGCATGACTGACACCTAGTGGAATCGAGCAGTCTTGTGATTCTAGAACAAAGAGACAAAAACCAAACACCTTTTACATTTAAACAGAATTTCAAAACTTTATAACCTTTTTAGAAAAAAGTGCCTTTAGAAAAGGCTAATCCATGGATATCACAAAAATCTTAACCTTTAATGTAAAACATGTAGCAGCATTTTATATACGAAGAAAAATAGAAATCTGACATTTTGATGGGGAGAAAAAAAACTGCAAAGTGTGAGAAAAAAAAACATTAAATACAATCAATGTTGTAGCTTTTAAAGCCTGGCTGGTTCACTTTGAGGTAGCCAAGCTACTGGTCCCAAAGACACGGCCGCTGGTCACATTTCAGCCGACAACACCAGAGAAGGAAACTAAAGAAGAACATGCCATTTCTTGCACACAAACATTTCCCATCATGCAGAGCCCACTTCATAGCAGCACATAGGACCAAATATGACCCTAGAAATAGTTATTGGGCGAATGAGACGCAAAATGGTAAAAATATATATAATAGAAAAAAAAACAATTATGCACACACCAATCACTGTTAAAACACATGCATACAATCAAGTATAGAATCTGTAAAATGTCACCTCTATATTGTCCCTGTATAGGAAACAAGGATAGGAACCTAACAGATTGCCTCACATCGTCCTAATCCCACCTCTGCTTGCAGACTGAAGGAAGGGTTGAATCGGTGACGTTGCTGCAGGTCAGGGAGCTTCTACCTCATCTTTAACTGAAGCCAGCCTGTCTACAGAAGCACTGAGAACCTCCTGTGTCCTTCTAAACAGGTTAGGTTGGCAATCTGTCTGTCTTTTAGGTCCAGGCTGAAGTGTTTTCTACTCTGGCAGATGTGTCTGGAGGGGAGGCGTATACATCCGTGGTCTGACTGTGGGTCCTGAAGTCTCAGCTCCATTCAACTCGTCTGTTTTTTCACTGCTCAGAGGCGGAGTCAGGACGCCAGAGGGAACGGGACAGCTGCTGGGATGCTTCAGGTCCACGCTGTGGTAGGACTGGGCCTTGGTCTGCACACAACCAAAACACACTGGAATAAAACACTAATAATAAGATCTCAATCTGTACCCAGCACAGTTTGTGTGTGGAGAAACTACTGCTGTGAATCGATTAAAAAAAATGTAATCCGATAAGTCACACTATGTCTAACTTTGTAAGCTCGAAATATAAATATGTACAGAGTTGAGGTTCTTATAGAAATGGTGACCTGGGCAACCCTCTCTTTCTGCTGCACGCCAATTAAAATTAAGCAATTATCTGATACTTTTTTGTAGCAAAAAAATCAGGCAATTTAGTCTCTCATTTCTCATCAGCATTACTCCATCACACATGCATACAAGTAGCAGCACACTTGTTCAGGGGACAACTGACATAAAAAATGTCCAATTCACTTTTTGACAAAAAAAAAAAAAACAAACAAAAAAAATCTAATCTCTTTCCAAATGATGTTTTAGGCAAAAAAAAAATAATTTTTGACAAAATATGACTAAGGACATTAATGTTGGAAGGTGATGATATAGTTTATTTTCTAGTTCTTGGGTGCCTACCCCCTTCTGATGTCACCCAGGGCAACTGCCTCAACAGCCCATATCAAACACCACCACTGCATGTTAATGTTTTATTGTTCCAAATCAATAATATATATATATATATATATATATATATACACACACACACACACAAGGAAGGTTTAAAGGAATTCATTTTGCTTTAAATGTTCAATGAAAAATGTCTTCTCCATTCATTTACTATGAAACTTGTACGATGAGGTGACAGTCGCTTGTCATCCAGCAGAGTGACCAGCGTAATTGTGAAATTTCGATCTCGTACATGTAAATGTGTACATGCAGCCTACCGACGTAACAAAAGTAAGCTGAAAAATTTTCAACTTTTGTTGCCGTCTGCTACTGTAGAAAACTTTAATCCGTCACTGTTGTTCATCGCCAACAACAGCAGTAACCGTCTGTGGGAGAGATGCTTTTAGGTCAAAATAAGTAGTTTGATTAATCTGAATTATGTAATACTGATGTGTTAAAATTTTCAGATTATTTGCATATATTAATGTTGACAGACCTAGCAGAAATATAAAACTATGTAAAGATTTACATCTTCTCGCCCTTGATGCATCTGGTTTGTACTAGAATTTAAAATAATTATTACCAGTAATGAAAGGAATGACGAGTGGCTCTGGATGTTGTGCATGTCGTCTGCAGCGATCCCAGTGAAGGTTTTCATTGGTGAGCCGCCGGCCTCTCGCAGCACCATGGCAAACGGGACCATCCACCTCACACACTCTTCCACCTCCACCCTCTTGAGAGCTGCATGAAAGGCAAGGAGCAAAACTCATTACTGTAGCAAAATGAAAATAAGCAAAAATACAATATCTTGAAAACCACATGTCTAGTTGCTCATGTAGATTGGCTTAATTATGTACTTAATACTTAAAGGTACAGCTAGAGTCTTAACACAAAATATACAAATAAATATACATTTTTAGTACTTCTGTTAAATCCCATTTCATCAGCCAGTGGATCTAAAAATGCTCTGATGCTGGTGACATTTAGAGTTGACCCAAAGCATAGATGAACTTAGCAGCTGGTTAAGACCCCCAGACCTTAAGTTCAAATGTTAACATCTGAACTTAAACCATAGATCCACTTATAACATTTGTTTATCGAGAATGACAATGTTGTTAAATTTGATTTAATGGTTTCAGAGATAAATTAAAAGATTTAAAATTGTTCAATATTTAAATTTAAGATTTTAACAAGTTGGAAAGTACAAAGAACAATCTTTGTACTTAGATTGTTTTATTACCATAGCTACAATCTGATGCTATGAGTTTAATCTTTGAGTTTGAGCTCTGTTCACAAATACATCTTAGTAAATTATAATCATCACTGGTTACTTTTAAGCTCAGCTAATTTAACCCCTCTCTCCCACATTCCACTAAATCTGTATTGAAACGCCCTTAGTGTGGCGGATGTGGTTAGCAGGAATAGGGACCCCTAAATCAAATTCTGGTCAAGGCTCCATGTAACCTTGGGCCGGGCCTGCATGACGAGCTAAAGTCGCTGCACTACACATTGAGACAAACAGGGAGATTTTATCTATGTGGCACTACTAGGGAGCAGTACCAAAGAGAAATATTCGGCTCCAATAGGGAGCAAGCTTTCCGTTTAGTAACCTGAGTTTTTAAATAAGCTCCACAGCTGATTGTTTTGTTTGTCTGGCCTCATCGTGACAGGCTTTTCTGATCTCCGCTCTTATTGGCCGGCTGGCCCTGTAGCGATTTTTGTGATTCTTGCAGCTTAAAATGACTGATGTTGTGACAACTTTTTCAAAAAGTTGTGGTCAAAGTTGAAATTTCTTTAGCTTTATTTTTGACAAAATACGGTCTTACAAAAAAGTTGAAATAGCTGCACATAACCTTCCTAAATATGACAGGATTTTAACAATTTAATATTTAAAATGCAAATATCATTTTTAAGGACCTTCTTGAAATAGAACTCTTAATGCAAATAAAATGATTTTTATATAACAGGCAGTGATAGTATTTGTGTCACTGCCAAAACCTTTGGCCCAAGATACAGACACCTTCAAATCCCAACTGAGGCTCCACATATTCAGATATTCAATGACAAACCTCAACATGTTTTTAATTAAACTTCACCTCTCTGCATGTTAGAAAGTCATGTTCTCCTCACCTGAGACATTTTCCACTAGCTCCAGTGAGGAAAAGTGAAACAGTGCAGACGCAGCAAGGATGCCATTGGAAAACTCGAGGCACCTCACATCAAGCATACACAGATCCAGCAACTGAAAGGAAATGAGAGGACATGCTGAAGCAGAACTATTACATTTTCATGCTAAGTAAAATAAACAGTTATTGCAAACACTTATTAAATAGATTTTACAATGGCTTCTACATTTTTGATCCACCAAGTGTCAGCTTGTTTGGAGAAAATCTGGTTTCTTTTGTTTCCAGAGACTGATGAAGCCTCAACCTACAGACATCAAAGTCACATAGAAACACACCTCAGCGATCTGTGTGAAGGTCTCCTGAGGATATCTGGGGATCAGCAGCTCCTCAGTGTCCTTCAGGTAGGCCACCTGCATGTAGACGTTGAGCCAGGAGATGGGAGTCTGTGGACTGAGACTCCAGTTCAACTCCTGTGAATAAAGAGAAGCAACACATCAGAAACATCACTTCCTGCTAGAAAGCTGTCTTATGTCTAGAGCTCGACAAGATGACTGTAATATGCATCATGAAATAAAGGTTTCATATCATTCTATAGATAATTTATAGATTAGTTTTTTGTTTTAAATATCTGAAATGCTGCCACACTAGTGGTGAGACCTTTCGTGATTTATCCAGTTTTTATTCCAGGCTGTAGTTTATTTTTAAGCAGTTATGAGGCCTGGTGGCAAAATCTGAAACTGCTGCTGTGCAAGTTACTCAACAAGGTTGTTGTTAAGTAACCAAAGAGTGAGTGAGTGAGTTAGTCGACACCATCCACCTAGCTTAGCTAGCTGTGCGAGGTTGAGCAGCTAACGTCTTTCCTCTGCCTACATCCCCCAGAATGCTGTGCAGTTCTGGTTCAGAGTTCAATGAAAATTTTAAAACTTATCAGATGTGTCGTCTATTGATATTGATTATGTGTCTATTCTCAATATATATTGTCACTGATTTATTGGCCAGTCCTACTCACATCTGTGATACACAATATAGCACAAATGTAATGTTACTGAAATATCAATGCATGCAAAATCACAAAGACCTGCTAGCTAACATTAGCCAATTATTAAAGTACCATGTATTCAAAATCTCTGCTACTAATATATTCGGTGACTCTTGTTTTTTATGCACCATTACATTTTTGAAGAGGGTAGTAAGGTGATAAAGCCATTATCCACATGACCTGCATATGGATAATGTAAGGCCATGTCTGCAAAACGTCCACTGCAGAAAGATAACACTATTAAGTATTTGATTGTCCTTTTACTTTAATGCTTCAGTTTTGATTAATTACAAAAAAAAAAAAAATTCTACAAATATTAATCCTTTACATCATACTGTGGAATGTAAACCCATATGCTATTTGAATAATAGTGTTAAAATTAGTAAATTATCAGATCCAGGTGAATAGAGCTGAATGATCTTACACAACGCTCCTTCCTCCTTGTTGTGATTCGCCCAAAGTTTGATATTTTATTACTCATTTCACAAAGTGAAAATGGTGTTCTTCAGATTTGCTACACCAAATGTTGTGATGATTGTGGCTTACAGATTATGAAAACCACAAGTTCTGGCACAGAGATCATCAATCTGTGGTTCTGCTGGGTGTAACGGAAACCCAGGGTGCTTTGATGGCAGCCTTCAGCTCATCTGCATTGTTGGGTCTGGTGTGTCGTCTTCATCTTGACTCTATAGACGCCGAGTGCAATCAGATCAGGTCAGGTCAGTTTGCCAGTCTCATCAAGAACAGGAATACCATGGTGATTGAAGCAGCTTTTGGTACCTTTTGCTAGTGAGAGCAGGTGCTAAATCTTGGTGAAAAATTAAATCAGCATAAGTAAGCATGAAGGGCTCTAGAACGTCCTTATAGTGTCTGACTGACCCAGACAGAGCAGCTGAAGGCTTTACAGGTGTTTTGAGTTAACTAGTTGATTAAGGCACGACACAGTGAGTTTCCAGTATTTAACTTTTCACAATTTTCAAATCTTTCTGAAACGTTGGCATTTTTATATTGAGTATCTGTAAGCCATAAATGTCAAAATTACGAAACATTGAGCCTTGAAATCTCACTCTGTATATTTAAGCTAACATATAAATTTCACTTTCTGAAATGGGTGACAAGAAGTACAACTTTTTCCACAATTTTCTATTTTTTAAAATATACTTCAAATGTAACATTTAATTTTATTATTTAGTGGAGAAAAGAAATACCATGTTAACCTTTTTTTTTTTTTTTTAAAGATTTTTTGGCTCTGGTGGCCTTGGAGAGTGGTCAGACAGGAAGGTAGTCCATGAGACCCGGGTTCAAATCCCAGCTGGTCATCAGGCTGGGATTCGAACCTGTGACAGCTGCATCGAGGACTAAGGTTGCCATACATGGGTTGTGTTTTTCCCCTGTGCCATCATTGCACCCCCCATGTTAAGCATTTTTAAACACACTTGGTATCTACAACAATCTGCTGAATAAATGCTGTGTTCCAGTTAGCTGGGTTTGACGTCACAACCGATGTAACAGCGTTCCAGTTAACATAATTGGAGTCGGACAAGTCAGAATTTCAACATAGTGACACTCAATTAGCCACTGTTCGCACTACCACTTATGAACATCACATTAAGACTAAGCTTTACTTTCAATAGGCAAACAACTCTTAACAAGTACAACATAACATTTGTCACATGTTAAACCAGCATAAATTAATAGCTACACCTTAAAAGTTCTAACTACAAAAACCTAAAGGGATTTTACTGATGCAAACTTCTGTGATCTGTTGCTTTTGGAGCAACAGCAGAGGAGAAGAGAACAGCAACAACTTTGGATAGCAAAAAATAAATAAATAAATAAATAAATGGCTATGCAAATTATAAATCAGTAATGAACTGTATTATAATAATTTCAAAGTTAGAGGAAGTTTGTAACATTAGCAGATATTTCACAAAACCAGAGAAAGGCGTTGCAAAGGAGCAGAAACCACACAGACACACAGCAGTATCTCAACTGTTAAAAACCTGTTGGTCCCAAAACTGTGGGTGTGTGTTTTAATTTCTTTTTGTTTCCAAACATAAATAAGTTCAAACTAAAATATTACTTTCAAAGACAGATTTAAGTCCTCTTTTGCCCCAGATGGCTGAAAAAAATAGTGAATGATCTTAACTATTACAGTTAAGCTGGGATGGCAAATTATTTTAGAAGTAAATGGAGTGCAACCCCAGGGGTAAGATAAAGCCCCCAGAGAAGCATCCTGGATCCTGGGAAAGATTCCTGCATGGAAACGTCCATCAAGAAAAATTTATTTTAGGGCCAATTACACACATTCACAAGGGATGCCAACAGATTCGTCCAGATGTGTATTTTCTAAAGTTTCAGAACTAACCAATGATAGATCTTTTTCATCCATTTATCTCTGCATCTATTTATCTACAGTTACATTATGGACCTTAATGTGTGACATATGAAGCCAATTTCTAAGATGGTCATTCCTTTTCCAAGACCTAGAATACAGAGCTAAAGAATACAAGCAACTCTGTCAATACATACCAACTATAAATTCTCACAGTTTAAGAAAAATGGCGAATGTTATTGAACTATATTCATTTTTTTAATCTATGGGAAAAAGACGTGTTGCTAACTTTACCTGTTGACATGCAGAACATTTTATGGGACATCTTGGAGTTAAGTGTTGCTTACCTTCATGATAATGATCTCCATATTGAGAATCTCATCTTCTGTGCAGGCTTCGTCTGTAACGTAGGCAAACTGGTGGATTTTTGGAGGATACATCTCCTGGAAAAACAAAAATCATGAGATGAGGACTGCATCAGCAAAAACCACCATAATGATGGAAAACAAAGTAACAGCTCTAACCTCCACTTTGGCAGCAATGAAAAGACACGTAATGCCAATGAGTTGCAGTGTGGATTTGAAGATGTTCCTCTGTGTGGCCATGAAGCGATCAAAGTAGTCCTGAGCGAGGTGATACGTCTCTCTGTGCAGTTTGTACACCTCGCTTACCTAAAATCCATTCAAAAAGAGGAAAAAGAAGTTGAAGGGCTTACTGCAAATCACTTAGTGCACGCAAACATTTTAAACTCAAAGAGCTTTATAATTTGTTTGCATTAATAAGGACCCCTAGATGAATCTTAATTAAGCTTTTATCTGCATTTTGTAAACATCTGAGCCAGTTCCCTTAGACATCTGTCACACGATGCTCTCAGCTGCTACATCTAGGGCTGGGCGATAAAACCACCATATCTAATCACAACAGACACGTGATCAATATCAACAGAAAATACATCTGATAGAATGCTGATCAGCGGGCTGCACAGTTGGTAGCACTGTTGCCCGGGGTCTTTCTGCATGGAGTCTGCATGTTCTCCCTGCGCATACATCAGTTCTCTCTGGGTAGTCAAGAGGAATTGCTTGACCAAAATACAGGTATAATTAACAGAAAATAATAGTTATTGATATCAACTGATATGAAATGCTTATGTCACAATGTGTTTTTCAGCCATCTTGACCAGCACTAGGTAGACCTCCCCTCAAGGGTGTTGCCACCTTACTGACCTCCATAAGCCAGTCCAAGAGGATGGCCCTCATCTTGGGCTCCAGATGCGGATGCTTCTCCAGCATGTGGATGTCCCTGGAGTAGGTCTTGTCCTTCTTCAGCATGTTGCTCCACACCACATCCTTACTGGCCCAGCTGACAAATACAGAAGCATTAATTCAAAATCAATCCAATGGAAAAACTGGAGGAAACAATTGGAAAATAAATGCTGTAAAAAACAACATGACCTAGACCTTTTTCCTTCAGAAGCTAAAAACACAGTAAAACTGTTAAAATATATTTCTAGGTCAACCATAATCAGCCAGATGTGCTGCCTTTTAACGAAGCATTAAGAACAGACTTTGCTTTGTGCACTGAACTCAGCAGTTGTCGGAAACTCCGAGTTTTAGCTTCCCATTTTAAAATGCCCCAGCCACCCGAGTGAAGTAGGTAGATATAGAAAATAGATGGATGGCTTTTGGAAGCTCACCCCTTGATGTGCCCAGATTGCACCAGACTGGGCTCCCAAAGCTCAGAACAATCAACCACTAAACAGAACTCACCACAGCGTGGGGAGCGGAGTGCAGTGAACCGGCGTTACAAAGATGTTGTGAAAGTTGTAGTGAAAGAGGCCCGCACTGGTCAGGGAGCCCTGCTGGTCCTCCTCCTGAGGCGGAGTGGAGGTCCAGCTGCGAGGACTTCTGCAATCCACCTCAAGACTGCAGCTCACCTGCTAGGAAGACAAGATGCAAGCAAAATAACACAATGTGTTCTACAGTTAGGAATGACTTTCCTGAGGGATGATCACAGACAAAAGGAGCTCAAAGGTGGGTGTTTATCATATCACTTATGATATGATAAACATATATCATAAATGGTCTGACTTATTGTGAACAATTTATGATTTTGTTTCTTATGAGTCTTAATAAATTATTTTCTATTTTTTTCTGTTTGTTCCATGAAAGCATCAATAAATATTGGTAAATTAAAAAAAATGGATCGAGTGCTGTTTATGTGTGGAAATAAATCAAACATCTTGAAGTCGCTTCCTGGAGAAGCTCATTTCAAATGAAAATGTTTTTTATCATTATAGTAATAATACCATAAAATATTGTGATAAGATATAAATAAGATCATATTAACACCACAAATGCAATATTTGTTTGTTCTTGCAATATCATTTGCTGCAATAGAGGCTTACTGCAGCAAATGATCACCTCTGATAGAAATATGGTACAGAAGATGCACAATTATTTATTAATTTGAATTGCCTAGTCAAAGTTTGGATCCAAATTAAACTGAAGAAATTCTAAACAACTTCCAGCTGCATCATTTCTAAAAGGTGTTCTCACAGAAGCCGATTAGAAATGCACGCCACACTTTTCATATTTTCATTTGTGAGACGAATTTGAAATTCATAAATTGTTTTCCCTCCATTTCACAATTAGGTTGGTTACATACGTTGGTCTGACACAATTCCTGTGCGCACACAAAGTATTATGTGGCGAAATGTAAAACATATTATTACATTTGATTAACTTCCTAATATAATTTCTGTGGAATTTTTTTCATATTATTCACAGCTTTTCATTTAAAGACAAACAAACCTTTTCATCTCCATGCACAGAGCCTGAACTCTGGGCTAACAGTCCTTCCCATCAGGCCAGTTGATGGAAAGAAAAGCTACCAGTTTAAACTTCCTCTCAGAGCATTTTGAAGGCAGCCAGAAAAATAAACTTACCTCAGACTCACGGTGCTTTTTCTTTGTCATCTCGTCTACCTCTTCATCCAGGTCTGGTAAAAACTACAAACCCAAGACAAAAAGAATGTATGAACAGATTTCAACCAAGGCTCAGAATACACAGCAAATGCAGACAGTTGTATATACACTCATGAGCATCAATGATCAATTAGGAGCTGTTTAGTAATTTATTTCAACTTCAACTTTCAACAATTTTCCAGGGAGAAATGATTATATTTCTGACTTTAATTTCTTAAACCAAGTTAGGTGGACCCCTCACATAAGCTTTTCTCTGATCCCTACAAGGTGAGAACTACATATACCACCACAAATATAGACATACACACCACGGAAGACTTGGTTAAATCTCTCTTAGCATTTAACCCTTTCACCAAGAACTGTGGAAATTACACGGTTCTTTTCAGTCATCAAGAAGCTTCTTGCTGAATTCTGAAAATATGTGAGCACTCCTGTCTTAAACCTCCCTTCTTGCCTGGAACAGACCCATAGTTCATAAACAAGGTTAAGGTCCATGCCAATAAAGAAGTTTAATGTTGCCCTACCTTATCCATTACCAACAAATCAAAAACCAGTTCTGAGGTCTGTTTGAAATCATTGATCTGTTAAGACACTTAAATGTGTCCCAATTTGCAGCAATACTAGCAGGGGAAAAAGAAAAAAAAAAGTCACATCATGATGGTTCTACAACCATGGCTGGTCCAGTGCCGTTACGCCTCAATTTAGCTCCTTCAAGTATCAGTCCCTCCAGGAAGTTGAGATGTGATCGATGCAAATTCACTCATTCGCAAATTTTCACCAGTCATCAGAACTTTTCCACAAATCTGACCGATCACCTAAATATTTTCTCTATTTCCTTTTCTGACCAATCACTGCAACACAAATACATTTCTGCAAATCTCCTGAACCTCCTAATTTAACTTCCTGTTTCACAATGTCACTGAAAGTCGAACCAGCAAGATGGAAGCATGTGTAATGCTAAACGGTAACATTTAGAGTCACATTTACCTTTTTTTATTTGTGCAAAAACCATCTTGAAACTTTCTATAGGATTTGCATATGCTGTGTAAACCGTTTGTTAACTTGACTGACCAATGTGGAATTCTTCTTTTGAACTTTGACATCTCCTCAGGACATTATTTGATTTGCATTAAGTGGGCTTTTTCAAGAAGGTACTTGAAAATATTATTTTCACTTTAATAACTGTTCAAATCCTGTCGTTATTGTAAAAGTCAGCTATTTTAACTTTTTCGCAAGACCATGCTATGGAAAAATAAAGCTTACACAAAACTTGCTACTTTTCGAAAATGGTGCTGCAACATCAGTAATGTTAGGCTGCAGCAATCACAAAAAAAATAAAAAATGAACAGCTACATCCTACAGCAGGGGTGGGCAATCGTCCTCGAGGGCCGGTGTCCTGCAACTCTTAGATGTCTCCCTGATCCAACACACCTGGATCCAGTAGCTGAATCACCTCCTCAGTGCAGTCAAGTTCTCCAGTCCTGCTAATGACCTCATTATTTGACTCAGGTGTGTTGAAGTAGAGATGCACCTAAAAGTTGCAGGAGACCGGCCCTCGAGGCCTGGAGTTGCCCACCTCTGTCCTACAGGGACTGAAACATACTTGTCATTGCAGTCAATAGCTCTATATTCATTTTCTCCTGAAGGAATTTTATTTATTATTGTGGGAAGTTGCACATTTAAGCTGAGCATGAATGTATCAATTTCACATAAAAAAAATACTTTCCTGCCATTCTCTCAGTTCATGTTGATGTTAAACTGGCCTTAGAGTTCATGGCAGGTTTGAGCTTTTGTGATTTTCATAAATTTCCTGACCAATCCTGATCATCTGATCTGAAATGGGAACACATCTATCCTAGTAGACTTGTTCTAGGCTACAGTTGATCCTGGAATGGCACATAAAGACTTGCTGACTGTTCCAAATCTACACTTCCCCCCTCTTACATCTTGATAAAACTCCCATAGACTCATCGTTTGTCCATCCAGCTAGTGGGAGTAAACAGAATCTATCACCCAAGAGGAGAGCTGAAGTTAATTGATCAGTTATAATAACTTAAACCAAAATTCAAAAGACATTCTTCTAGAATCAGCAACTTAGCATTTCATGTTAACCAATTAATTTTAATCTGTATATATAGTCTTTGTATCGATTAGGAATAATAAAAAAATATTTTCGAATGTGTGAATCCAATTCTTTAAAAGTAATAATTTTATGTTGGATCAATATTCACAAGTCTCCCAGTTAATGAGGTTCATATGCATGGTGTTAAAGAAAACTTCTGAATGTACCATAGATCTTAAGAATAAACTGAATAGTGATTAAAAAAAAACAAGCAGTATCACAAGCAATAAAACAGAGTAACATCTACTGCTAACTGCCAAAAGGAAGCAGAATCAATGGACATTTGTGAGATCAGTGTGGAAAAAAAAAGAGTTGGAACTAAAGGTGTATTCCCGTTTAGACTCGGCAGTAAAGACAAACAGGCTCTCAATGCTCCTTACAATAGCAACATCTGCCTTCCTCTTTCTCGTTCGTACTGTATTCACTTTGGGAGCTCCGACTGCGGCAGACTTCGGTTCCTTGTCTTCCCTGTAAAATAAGCACATAAGGAAACGGGATATTAACTCTCATGTGTCAACGTAACATCGTGGAACAAGCCTGCATTAACATGTTCTTGTGGCCCAAATAAAGTCCTGTGACAACAGGCCACAGATTAGCCGGATGGCTAAGGCTCTGTAACTTTCTGTCGTCACACTCAGACACTGGTTCCGAACTCATTCATAAACTCAATGTCAGACTCACTGTTGTCCCCGCATTATCCTCTCAAAGGCCGCTCAAACGTTCAGAGCAAACCTAAGACAGAAAACAAGTCAGGTTAGGAGAATTTTTAAAAAGAAAACTACACATTCATAAATCCCCAACCCCCACGCTGAGCTCCCTCCTTCCGACAAAGCCAAACCGAGTGAGGCGCGGGTAAACTGGTACAGTACGCAGAGCTAAGGCTCTGCGAAAACAGGCCCAACAAGCAAATCTGAACATGAAGTCATTTTGTGACAAACTCCAGATGATACAGTGTTTGTAAACCTTCACGCCGTCGCCTATTTTAAGGTAAATTCCATTTCTTGCACCTCGCTAACTTTGGACAGCTGCTTTTCACATAATGGCCGAACAACCAGTACATCATCAGACACGCTTGAGATCTTGTTTAACAAGTCGAACAAACAAACAAACAAACAAACAATATTAGGCCTGAAGTTAACAATAGCAACACCCCGACTTTCTAATAATTATTAGAAACAGCGTGTATTCCAACTTTGTTGCAGTTTGGGTAAGTCAGTTGAGTTTTCAGAAGTGTGAGCTGAAACTGTTTTAACTCGCTGCAGTGACGGTTGCGATTGAAGCAGCTCACCTCAGGTCTCTGCCCTTGAAGTTCACTCTTCTCAGTGTCAGATATAAAATATGAGCGCGTGGCTGTTGCTCGGACTTCTGGCCGCTTTGTTCGGTAGTCTGAGCTGAGCTCGCGCCTTGCACAGAACAGATGAGTCGACGCTGTGACGTCAGTCAGGAGTTCATTTAAATTGGGGCTAAACCTCCACACTAAGCCGCTTTTTACGTGACTATTTTCACTCTTCTCACCTCCGTGTGATGCAGTTGAAATGCCTAGCTTTTACATCATCACGATGGTATTTTTACACTTTGTTAAAAGAAGCAAAAATTTAAGTTTGCAGTGAAGTCCAGTTAACAGAAGGCGTGACTGCTGCGGTGACAGCTGCAGGGGCGGTGTTTTCGCAGCAGGAAGTCTCCAGATACCGCGTGGCTTGCTTGTCAGATGTAAACAAACCCCCGGTCTTTTAGATTAAACCAAAAAATGTGAACAAAATCATAAAATATTTGTAGCACTTAAGCGTATTTTCTTTCTGTGAATGTCTTACATTGTTGTCACACAAGGTTATGCAGATGGCAGCGGCAATTTAACCATAAACCGCCAGAAACACCGACCGAGAGACGTTCGCCGCTCTATTTGTTTTGTCATACGTCACTGACGCCGCCATATTAGAGAGGCTGAATTGTAACAAACAGAACAGTTACTTAGGCTCATTTGTATTTGATTTCATGACCGTTAGCGAGTTGAACACCAAGTCTCTTGCTAAATTTTACCTGAATATAAACTGCGATAGTTAAGTTAAACTGTTATGATTTCTGGAACAGACTGGGCTTTTGAGCATAGTCCTCCAGAAGGTTTAAGGTTAAGGCCATTAAAAAGCTTAGTGTTTTGCCAGTTTTATGTTAATGTTTTGCCAGTTTTAATGCCCAATTGGTGCATCACTTGTGTTCAAATTTCAATCATTTAGCTGTTGATCTGTGTTCCAGGTACCACTGGAAGTGAAGCAATGCCACAGCTTATTGATGCCACCATTGAAAAGTTTTGCAGCAGCAAAAAAGTTTCTATCATATTTTACTGATAAAGCAAAGATTTAGATGTTAATCCAAACAGTAAAATATAGATGTACTTCAACATTTTGACTACAATGATAATTACTAATACTACATTTAAGTCTTTTCATTGGGCTACTGATATTTTATTCGACATAATCATGTAATTATTTGTTTAAACTTTTATCTCCATCATGGCTTGAACTATCAAAATTGTATATAAACCATTCAATAATTATTTATTAATTTCATAATGAAAAATAAATTGGAAACAAATATGGAGTAGATTTATTAGTTTATAAACGTATCCCATAAAGTGTGTCAAAAATCTATGAGACATACATCTATATTATTACGCAAATACACATAAAATTCTTGATTACAACTTTAAGTAATTATATAACTAAATAATAAAAACAATATTCCAGATTTATTTTCTTATTTCCATTCTTCCATTCTGCAGAGATTTTGGAAGTGTTAATGAATTATATCACAACATCAGATAACCAGTCGTAGACTCTTTGAACAAATTTATTTAATAACTTATTTTTCCAGCCTTTCATTGATTTTTCTCTTTGAACCTTGCTCAGTCACATGCACCTCATTCCAGTGAAAAGGAAAACTAACTTTGTTTAGTCTCTGCAGCCTTGTAGCTCCACACAAACTACAAAATGAAGTTTCAGAGCCTTTTTGGATCCTTAAAATCTGTCATTATTGGTATGATTCATGCCAAAGCCTTGCCAGGTAACTTAACATTTTTATAATCTTTGTTCTCTAATGTTTTACTGTTCACTTTTTTATTGTTCATGGAGCAGGAGCTCCTGCTGCTGAATGACTCTGGAAAGATTTTACACATTTACTCTTAAACTTCCAACAAATTAGCATTGCATATGCTGAAGTGTTTTGCAATAATTGCATTTTATATTGTGTTGAAGGGATTAGCAAACAATTGTAATTCTTTTTGAATTGGTCCTTGTTCTTTATTCCAGGTACTCCTCTGGGTTGTTTAAATATGTTGCAGATTGTCAAAGAAGCATGCCATGAAGCAGAGGTCTACCTTGAAGCAGGCATTGTAAGTTTCTACACATCACATTACACAGCTGAAATCTTCCCTTCTAAATGAGAGTGGAACTCATAAATATCTCATCCAGGACGGCTTGATCATTGAAAACATGCACGATGTCCCCTACTCGTTCAACTTGGGCCCTGAAGTGTGCGCCTGTATGACTGCGGTCTGCTCTGCTGTCAGACATGTCTGCCCCACTCTGCCCCTTGGAGTCCAGATCCTATCTTCTGCTAACCAGCAAGCGCTAGCTGTAGCTTTGGCTTCAGGTTCAGCTTTTCATCAGCTAATCAGAAAATTTCCCAGTTCATGCTGGGTGTTTTTACTCTTGAGTTTTTTTGTTCAGATCAACTCTTCAACCACTTTGATGTGTGTATGTTTTCAGGTCTGGATTTCATCAGAGCAGAGGGTTTTGTCTTTTCTCATGTGGCGGATGAGGGTCTTTTGAATGCCTGTGCCGGGGACCTTTTGAGATATCGCAAGCAGATTGGAGCTGATGGGGTTCAGATCTTCACCGACATCAAGAAGAAGCACAGGTGAAGTGACCATCTGTTCAGTTAAATCCCTGAACTGTCGTCCCTAAAACGTTCGCATGTTAGTCAGCGGGCCCATAAGGACACCAGTAAAGCTGCAGTATGTAAGATTTATAAACAATATGTTTTTTATATATTTGTTGTAATGTCAGTACATCATGACAGTATAACATGAGACAGATAATCTGTGAAAAAAGTCAAGCTCCTCTGTTTTCTTCCTGTGTTCCTGTTGCTAGCTTTCTAAAATGCACCGCTCTGGGTCAGAAACACTGGTCTTAACACTGTTAATCACCCTCCTGTATACGCTCCTCACGCCCTCCCCCATTCTCTCTGCTACCCCACACCTGCTTCAGCACAGGTGTTAAGGCTAGTTAGTATGGCCAGCGATAGATAAACAGTTGTCCTGGAATGATAAGTAATTTCTCCATTATTAGCACATCGAGCAATGCATACATGAGGGTGATTGACAGCACTAAGACCCCCCTCCTGTCTCTGATTGGTTGTTTCTGACCCAGAGTGGTGCATTTTTGCAGATTCCAGTAGGAGCATAGGGAACACATAAGATCAAAACCTAGTGACCTTTTTAACAAATATGTAAAAAAACAAAATAAAAAAAAACAAATAAAGCCTTGTTACTTGTAAAAGTTACAAATATGTATGGAAATTGGTTAAATTGTAAGTAGGGTCTAAAAAATGCTTCTAAATGTGAAACAATTGTATTCAACCCCCCTCTGAATTAGATACCCTCCAGTAAAAACCAATGCAATCTACTGCCTTAAGAAGTCTATTGCTATCTATTGATAGCAATTAGTTAATAGTGTTAGTTAATAGTGTTGACTTTTTGCTTTAAAATGAATGTTTGCCTTAATGCAAACAAAAATGAATGTTTGCCTTACTGACACACAAGAGGCAGGTCAATATAACACACTTCCATCTCACTCTGTGAAAAACAACAATATGCCACTTAGCATCCTGAGAAATAGTTCCCACTTCCACCTTTTTCTTCTTTCAGTTTTTTTAAAGTGTTTACTCAAAAACTCACATTTACTCAACTTTTGGAGACATGATAAAATGAATAAAAACTTCACACAACTGAAGTTAATCAGTTAGAAGTAGAAACTCACATTTAAGTTCAAAATCTAAAAATTGTAAGATTTCTTTGACTGACATCGTAGAAGCCGTCTGTATAAACAACTGAATGTGTCTCAAATGTTTGACAGTGTAGGCTTATTTTAATAGAGTGTGTATAGCAAAAGCATGACCAGTCAAGCTATATTAAAAACTTATCATTTTTAATGAAATACAATTTAGAGTGTATACTTTATCTATATTAATACAGTACTATAATTACTAATCCTAATATCTCATGAGTTATCTAGTTCTGTGTGTCAGAAGTGAGTCATGCTGTTTGTTGCTCAGCTTGCTGCCTGTGTGTCTGCAGCTCCCATGCTCTGACAGCTGATGTGACTATAAAGGAGACTGCCCGAGCTGCGGAGTTCTTCCTCTCAGATGGAGTCGTCATCACTGGGGCAGCGACCGGAGATCAGGCTGACCCATGGGAGCTCACAGGTACTGGTGCACTTTGTTCAGCTGGAAGCTTCTGCAATGTGAAGACAGTATGGAGCATCATTGTTTCACACTCAATCACTGCCTTGAAACAAGACGCAGAACTAAACAAATCAGTATGTTTCTACACTGACTTTGTGATGGACAGATCATTCCACTGATTATTTAGATTGAACAAAAAGAAAGTGCATCAGCATGTAACTCATTTTAGAGGCTGTTAGATGATGTGAGCAGCAGAGGGCACTGTTGTAGTGAAGAGTTGATATTTTACTAAGATGGGGAACAATAGTTGAAAGTAACAATCCATATTCATTTACGTTGCTTTAATTTATGGCACCCATCATGTAAAAGTATTTAATATGCATACAAGAATTTAAACTCTGAAAGTCCCCTGGGTAAGAACATGTGAACTGTATGTTCTTTAACTCAGGTTTTATGCTCAAGAGATGACAGACACATATTTTCAACATTTTGAGTGTTATAGCTGCATTGGAAATGTGGCAGTATGAACCTCTATTGTGATTTGAGACATCAATGATTTGTTTCTCTGCGGCTAAATTGCTTTCAATAGATATTCTAATTTTTTATATGAGAAGAATAGCCATGGTAAATCTGCAGTATGTAACTTTTATAAACAATGGGGTTTTCAATCACACTTATTTATGGGCTGCTCAATGTGCTATTGGCAGAGAAACAACTCACCATTATATGACAACTCTCTGTCTGCCATGCTTAGCGTTAGCATTCACAGCAGGCTCTAACAGTAGTGCAGCAGAGAGTCAGTAAGGAGTGAGTAATGTACCGATATGTCTCTTTTCTCCCCAGCACTGATGTCTCACCTGGTTATTATGATTTTAACTAATTCTGGGGGATTTCCAAACGCTATATAAAAAGTTAGTTGATTTTTGGGATCCACGTAGCTCAGTTAAAGGCAGGCGCACCAGATACAGATATTAATGGGTAGAAGCCACTAGAGCTACAAAAATTATTTCACTTTAGAGGTTTAAATGATTGAAAGTCAACAGAAAACAAAGGAAAAAGATTATTCTCCTTCATGCCTTAAAGCATAAACCTTCATGTGATTTTTATTAAACATAAAGGAGTGTATCAAAGTACATGCCACTAGTTGATGCCTTTGCTGAAATTGGCAGAAATCCTCAATTTAAATGCATAAATTATTTTAAGAAATTAAAATCCTGACCTCCTTTGATGTGGATCCACAAAAACTGAGAGCAGTGATATTTGATATCTGGATGACTGATTGACAAATCTCTGATTAAAGGTCTAAGACCATCTCACGTTCAGGATCAATTATTCTCAGGACTTTCAAAGGGTCTTTAAGAGTTTTTCTTTGAACAATAACAGTTTTAAGCATTGTAGTTTCAGTATATCTGAGATCTTTTGTTTAAAAAAAAATAAGTCTGAACTATGACTAAAGAGATCATAGATGTCCAGGCTGAATTTGGTAGATTTTAGGTTCTAAAGGGAATATTTTGTGAACATTAGAAATACTTATTGATCTGTTGGTAAAATGGACATGATAATAAGTTTCACGGCCTCTAATTTCAACATATTGTCACATCTAATAGTTGAGACTTATCTCAAACACACTCTCTGTTTATATGTTTTTTTAATCATAATCAGGTAAAATTAAAAAATAGTTTATCGGTGACATGTTGGGAAAACTTCGGCTTAACATCTAGTCAAGTTTCCCTCATCATTTGTCCCTGTGGGAGCAGGGATTTCAGCTTAGAGCAATTTAAACATCAGTACTGAGTACCTGTGTATTGTTTGTTCTTTTTGCCCAAAGAAAGGAATGTTCTTTGTCCCACTTTTCTATTTTAAAGATTCTCGTGAGAGTGTAATGTGGTGTGAGAGTCCTCACCCAGAAACACCACCGGGTCTAATTTGATCCAACTATTACTGTCAGAACTCAAAACTCAGCCAGACGTTGACCAGTCACATAGCTGAGGGTCTCATGAGTGCTGAAATACAGAACAGGACACACACTTGCTGCTTTTTTCCTCACAGGCGCACACACGCACACACACACACATACACACACATACATATGATTTGTCTGTGAACTGAGCAGGCTCAGACAGAAAGATGCCGGCCGTGTCGGCGTGGAGTTCAGCCTTCACCCTGTTCAAAGTTCACTTGGGCTGATCTGCCCTCACTTATCTCACGGTTCATGAAGGCACCTCTCCCTCTGCTTTGTCACTTTAGAAAACAGGAACAATTTCAACCTGAGGGAACAAAATACATTCTTCCCCCTATAGTTCAAATAATATTATTTTTAGCAATTTTTTGTTGTATTTTTTGCATAAAAAGTTGGAACTTAATGGTAAGTACAATATTTTATAAAATAAGAACTCTTTCAAGTAACCTTTTATTCTTGTAGATGAGTGTTTAAGTCACCACCTTTCAAAATGTGAAAACCTTAGATAGACCAGGAAGAGTTCCTGGTGTCATTATGTCCCATCTTTCCTGTGCACACAGTTTTGTCGCCCTTTTTCACTCCCAAACATTTTCCGCATGTTCACTCTGCAGGACAGGATGTTTTATGATCTGTGCTGGAAGTTGATAAGACAAAAGCTGGGAAGATCTATAAAACCATGTGAAACTAGACAGAGGTCACGGTTAATTTATGAATGAATCAAAGCAGAGTTCTCCTGCTGTGTTTTGCCTTTGCAGAGGTCTCCCAGTCTGTGAAAATCCCAGTGCTCATCGGTTCTGGAGTGACATATGACAATGTTGAAAACTTCCTGGATGCCAGTGGAATTATCATTGGATCTCATTTTAAACATGGTGGCCACTGGGCCAATGCAATTGATCCAGAGAGAGTCAAGAGGTTCATGGCAAAAATACATCACCTACGAAAGCAACAGAGCTAGTTCTCACCACCACTAAGCTGCTGATTGACAATAAAGGCAGATTAGATTACTTCCTGTTTGTCTGGTTTGTGCTTTATCAGTTTAGTCCCATCTAACCAGAGCACCTTCTTCCAGATGAGGGTCTGCAACCTGCGGCTCCAGAGCCACATGTGGCTCTTTATAACATCCACTGTGGCACTTAATAACTTTAACCAAAAATACTAAAGAATTAATGCTTTAAAATGTAAAGGTCTTTAAAAATGCTAGCTGTTTTCATGTAACAATGTAGAGCATATTTTTTTAACCCTCCTGTGATCTTACTGGGATGCTCAGGAGGAGCGTGGCAGATGTCACAGTCAGACAGCAGAGAGGAAGAGGGCTGAGGTCCCGTCAGACCGTCAGTTCCCTAAACCACATACACACAAAGGAAAACCTTGTAAAAGGGTTAGTGCAACCCCACCAGACTGCACACAGGGTAAACGGTTCACAGGGTCTAGTGGACCCTTTCTCTAAAGACCATAAGATGGTTAAAAAGTATATCTTTTTGTCTTTTGGCTGCAAAGTATGTGCTTTTCCATCCATCCAGCCGTCCATCCAACATCTTACTTGCTTATCCCTAGTGGGGTGGTGAGGGATGCTGGTACCTCTCCAGAGGTTAACAGGCAAAAGACGGGGTCACTCTGGACAGGCCATCAGTCCATTACAGGGCAGCACAGAAGACAAACAAGACAAGCAATCATGCGCACACACTCACGCACACACACACCTAAGGAGAATGTAGAGAGACCAATCAATGTGACTGACATATTTTGGACTGTGGGAGGAAGCCGGAGTACCCAGAGAGAACCCACACATTCAGGGGAGAACATGCACACTCCATGCAGAAAGACCCCGGACTGCAAGGCAACAGCGCTACTAACTGCACTACTGTGCAGTTAGTAGCACATACTGGTCAAGTATGTGCTTTATTGAAATAATTTTTGATTTAATTTTATTTTTAATGGAATGTTACATTCCATTGAAAAACTGTGTTCATTGCTTTTGTGTAAACAAGTTTCATAACTAAAATAAAGATAACTGTGTTTATTTTAAAACCTAAAAACAAAAATGAAAGTGATTTTCTTTAATTTGAAAATGAAATGATTTGAATAACCTAAGCTAAATAAACTAATTTGTTTCATGTAGCTTTTTGACTCAACAAAATCTGTTATTCTGGACCAAAGGGAAATTGTTTGGGCTGTGGAGGTTGCTGCTCCCTCTTCTAGCTGTTTATGTGCGCCCTAAGTGGCTGTTGGAAAACTACAAATGGGTTTTCGTGTTTTTCCAAAGCCCCTGTCATATGCATAAACCAGGGGTGGCCCTCGAGGGCCGGTCTCCTGCAACTTTTAGATGTGTCTCAACACACTTCAGTCAAATAATGAGGTTGTTAGCAGGACTCTGGAGAACCTGACTGCACTTAGGAGGTGATTCAGCTGTTGGATTCAAGTGTGTTGGACCAGGGAGACATCTAAGAGTTGCAGGACACTGACCCTCCAGGACCAGGATTGCCCATCCCTGGCATAGACAATCAGATTGGTAAGACAACAATTGTTCTGCTGTTAATAGACCATCAGGTAAAAAGTATAAAAACATTTATTAATTTTTATGTTATTTTTCACATGAATACTGTACAGGTCAATACACTTAGAAAATGAACACACTATCAAAGAACAAGCCACTGCAATACATAATAAATCTTAAATGTTTCATTTCTGGAAAAAAAACCTTCTACAGGTTTCACCTTTTCATATTTGGAACATTGTCACAAGCTCCAATCGTTAATTATGCAAATAACTTTTCAAACACACACATAACACACTTGTCCATAATCAGACAGTTGACATTTCTAAAACTTTATGAAAAAGTAACTTTCTAAAGATCCATTGCAACTACATGTGTTGAGGCTGAGGTTACTAGTTAATAGACCTGATGGCAGCAGTGCACAGCTCCCTACAGCAAACTCTCATGGCTTCATCTTTGAGGCAGAGGACTTTAAATGTCTTGCTATGCAGTTATGAGGCATATGCAGAGTGGATTAAGGTGGGGTAATGACAGAGAACCTGAGTAATTCAGAGCCATACTGAGCTGATGATTGGAGGTCAGGGCCGGTTCCCATGCATCCTGTCTAGGTTGATCCCTGCAGGTCAGTAGTTGTAGAGGCGTGGGGAAGGACGCATTATGTTGCCATGTCCTTTGCCCTTAGGTGAGAGCTGAGTCTTAGTCATGTTGTGCCTGTGGAGGGCGCTACGACTCAGCTTCTTTCTCTGGGCCTGGCTCCTGGCTCTCTGCATGGTCAGCAGCTGGAGGCCACATGGCAGGGGATTCCCCCAGGCGGCCAGATGCCAGGAGATGTGCCGCCTCACAGCCAGCGGCCTGAATAAACACACAATGTTAGAGCATTATGAGTGAAGTTTGGACTGACATGATGTTTTCCCTGCAATTCGTTAAAACCCGCTGATTTTGAAAGTATGAGACTTCATGTATAGGAACTCTTGGCTTTGGTTTAAAGATCTCTGATTGATTCATCCATTACACATCAACAGCCATTGGTGGAAGACTTGGTACGCACACACTGATTGGCTGAGAGATAAAGCTAAGTGACATAAAGTTACCTAGAGGTTTCCTCTTCATCATCATCTGAGGCTTGCTCCTCCTCCTCGTCCTCCTCCTGTGCTCCTTCCATCCTGCATCTTATCTGGTAAACAGACATGCTGGGATGCTCAATCAGCAGGTTCTCCAGAGGGTTCGCATCAGGGGCTGGCAGGGGTCCGCTCTCTGTTTCCAGATAAAACAACCTCCCATTATCACCAGGAACCATGACAACCTGAAGTGTAAACTTGTTGTTACTGTTGTGAATCATGGTTTCGTCTCTCACCTGGGATGTTAACAATGACCCATTCCTCCTCTTCAAACTCCAGGAGCTCCTCGTTGGCGCCACCTGCTGCTTCAGACTCCTCTCCAGTGTTCCCAAGAAGATGAGAAAGAATCTTCCCAATCATTCTCTAAGTCTCGTTTACAGCCTGGAATGTAAAAACGGAAAGAGCAGTCATGAGAACATGATTAGGAATAAAAACCGCTCATCACCTCATCCATGGAATCTAGGTCTCTGATAGAGAGAAACAGCGCCCTCTCCAGGCTGTTCCTACACACCAGCAGTTCACCCTTTACAGCAGCTGCTCCTATTACACTCTATCAGCTGGCTGGGTGGTTACATCAGTGTAATGTTGGGGAACAGATTCCTTTTAGAAGCTCATCAGCTGAGTCCCGACCAAGACGGAATTACCAACTAGAGCGACGGCAAAAATAAACCGCACGCTCTTCTGTTTTTAAGGATGGAAGAATCAGTTCATCATTAGGTTATCTGGGCCAGATGAACTCCTAAAATATGTTTTTAAATAAGATGCACTTTTTACACACTAATAAACTAAAATGAGCTGAATAAATGAGGGCATTGTGTTAAAGTTTAGGTAACATTTATGTTTGTCAGTCTTAAGTTGAAAATGCAACACTGTGTGTCCAGATTTTGACACTACTTTAAAGAAGACGTTAAAACATTAATCACAAGACACTGACTGAAATAGCATAAAATCAACACTATTCATAGTGACCTACAGCAGCACAGACTCTTAAACAACTAACTAAACATAATGACATGTGCTTCAAGGAAACAAAACAGAAACACTCTTGCCTTATACTTAACCTTGTCCAAAGTCATTTGGACAAATCTTCATTTTACATCTTGTTAATTTATGATTGTTTGCAGCAGGCAGGTTGGGATGTCTGCAAAAGTTTATACAATCAGAGTATGACTTCAAAGTTTAGGTAACTCAGTGTCTGAACCAGTCGGGTCAGAACATGAAAACTTCTCTTTATCCCTCAAAACATAACAAGAACGTTTACACAGAACAGGTTCATTTACCCTTTCACACATTCATCTCTTCCCACCTCCATTCCTCACCTGTACACAAAATGTTTACAAGTGTAGCGCTGTCAGTCATGCACTTGTATACGCTGCTCCTGTGAGCAACATGTACAGGAGGGTGACTAACAGTATAGAGACCCTCCTCCTGGCTCTGATTGGTTGTTTCTGCCTGAGCTCTGCAGATGGCAGTAGGACCACAGGGGAAAGGCAGTGATTTTTTTTTTTTTGGCAGTTCTAATAAATATGTAAAATAATCCTGCTCTTTATAAAAGCTACATACTGCAGCTTTAAAGCTCAAATCACTAGTAAATTAATATAACTGAAAATTATCAGAAAATTTACATTACATTTTATTTGTTTGATTTTTTTCTCATTTTTGTACAGACTACTTGATTTTAATTAAATCTAACAGATTTTCATATTCTTAACCTCAAATCCAACCTGAAGGACATTCTATTATTTATTAGAATATGGAAAAACACATTAAATTGTCTGTTATTACATCTGGTATGAAACGTTCCCCTTGGAGGTCAAGAACTGACGCAAAGTTGGTACAAGACGTCCAACACCTGAACTTATTGCACAATGCGCACATATTCATATGCACATCATCCAGGCAATGAAAGTCAAGGCAAATTTATTTATAAAGCACCATTCATATACAGAACAATACAAAGAGATTCAGAACAACTGTAGTTTTAGTTTATTAAAATAAATGAATAAATGTGCAAATATGCAGTATATCAGTTCATGTACTATCTTTCTGCCAAAACAGTCTGATCGTTACTGTACACTGCCTGAACGCACCAGTTAGTTTGATGGGGAAAAAAGAACCACACAGAAAAAAGAACGATGAGAAACCTCAGTTATCAGCCGGAACAGATGTTAAGGTAAAACATCTACTTTCTAGTTCAGAGTCATCAGCCCCTCACCCACTCTGATCTCTAACTCCGAGCAAAGTGTGAGTGATTTTAGTCAGTCCGTCGGTAAAGCAAATACAATGACATCAAAGTTCAAATGTTCATTCACTGAGTCATATTTCCCACTTACTGGTTTAGAAAGTTGATGTTTCTCCAGCACGGTGAAGATGTCGCTGCCTTCTTTTCTCTGAGTCTGTTGTGATAAAAAAAAAATTGTTTATCTGCTAGGGGTGAGAGCGGGGGGCGGTCGCTATTGGGCTGTCTCGTCACTGCGTCTCAGCCAATGAGGAGCGACTATGCTATCTCAAATTTGTTCCTTATATGGCAAGCCATTTTTACATACATTCTGTTTTACCGCCCTTACAGTCCAGATATCTCAAATTGTTTTGTGAAGAGACGTTTCAGCGATTTAAGATATCTCTAATTATATTTCGACTAGACAAAATAACTATTTGAGATATCTCTAATTACATTCTGACTAGTCGAAATGATGTCAGATTTACCATTGACTTGTATGGTGACTTCAATTCAAGATATCTAAAATGAATTACTGACTATCTGAAATACACATTTCAGATATCTACAATTAAATTATGACTAGTCATAAAGTAAATTCAAGATATCTCAATTTTAGTTTTGACTAGTCATAATTCTAATTAAAGATATCTCTAATGACGCCATAATTCAAGATAACAAATGTATTTTTGGATAGGAGATATAGTTTTGACTAGTGAAAACTAAATTATAGATATCTTAAATTCAAATAATGACTAGACAAAATTAAATTAAAGATATCTTGAATTGTAATTTTGACTAGTCAAAATTCCTTTTACGATATCTCTAAATGAATTCGAGATATCTTGAATTACACAGCTTTTCTATTTAAGATATCTTAAATTGACATTTCGATAGTCAGAATGACATTACTGATATCATAAATATGCATTCTGTCTAGTCAAGACGTTCCTGACTCACGTAGCAATTTGAAAGTTTAATAAAACAATGAAAAATAGAAAAAACGAAAAAAGATGTTTGAAAATGCTCCACTTTCATGCTGAAAACAATTTGACAATAGCAATTTTATAGCTTTTCAAAGCTGCTTTTAAGTACATTCGGTTCGTCGGAAATGAATAAAGAGGAAATTCTTTGCAGTCTTATTGTTTATGAAGTTTTGCTATCTCCGCATTTCCAACATTGTTGAGCTCTTTCTAATTTGTTTCTAAGTCAGACGAAACCGAATTTATGTTAAAACGGCTTGCCATATTCCTCAGAAAACATGAACGCATGAAGGGTTTCCAAAAAATATGGCGAAAAACAGAAGAATCTTCAGCTTAAAAATGGAAGTATATCTTTAAAAATTAAAAAAAAGAAAGAAAAGCTTTTAATGAGGCAGATGTTGGTTATTTCAGGGTTCGCATCACACTAAGCAGAAATGGCGGGTGCTTTGTTGGCGGTGGTTGCAAACTTCAGGCGGCGGCATGCTGATATGGGGCCGACCCATGTTTTCTTTAGCGAATTAAAAATATTTAGCTTAAAAGTTGATGCGTGTATAAAGGATTTTTGTTGCTGTATGGCTATTTTATCTGAGTTTGGTGAAAATATTTGTAAAATACACATTTAGAGTCAGGGTAGAAACAAAAACAATCTCCCTTAAAGTGGAACACAATCTGTGAATACTTAGTTGAATTTCTGGCCATTTCGCACCGAACGTTTTCGTGCAATTGTTCCAGTTGATAATTTATAAGCTTGATTTGAGTTTGATTTGAGAGTTTCTATTGCCAAACCAGTAATTCATAAAAACTCATTTTGACAGCCAACAACTGAAAATAATCTGACAGAAATTGTCTTTATTCAGTTGTTTGTTCACAGATACGACGTAGATATAGGAAGAGATGAAATGAGATAGCAAATTCCTACCAAACAAACTGACCGCTGTTTGTTTCAGTCACATCTTAGCGGGGACTCTCGGGTACGCCTCATTTTAAACGGTGCACATAAATTCACTTGTCGGGTTACAAATGGTGCGCACCCACTGTGATGTACAGGAAGTGACAGATCAATCAGGACGTCGAAAGAGCAACCAAACGTTCGGAGTCGGAGAGGGGAGGACTCAGCAGCTCGTGTGTTTGTCTCACTGGAAACAGAAGCGCTCGCTGTTAGGCTAAGCTAAAGGTACGAAACCAGCTGAAGAGGAGCAGTAGAGGAGCAGTAGAGGAGCAGCAGAGGAGCAGTAGAGGAGCAGCAGAGGAGCAGTCCCTTCAGCCTGTTGGTCCCTTTAGTTTAGAGCGGCTCGGGCTCAGTTTCAATCCGGAACACAATGAAACTCTAATGTCGGTGTAAACAGAAAAAAACCTAATGTTAGTTCATACATACCGGCATAAAATAAAAATGTTAAAAGATGAAGCGTCATTCTATACGTTTTTTTTATGCATTTAATTTTAAGTACACGTTAATGTGTCTGTTTTTATTATTATTTTTATATTTAAAGTCAGAGTTTCATGTTTGTGTTAAAATGAAACCAAAAGTTTTTTTCAGATTGTTGCTCGGAAAACTGATGCACACCTTTGTATCCCTCTTTTTCCATCTACTCTTGCTGTTTGTTTGTTGCTATGACTGAAGTAAATGACTAAATGACATTCTATTTTCATATTTTTTTCTACCTATTTTCAGACTCTGACCACTGTTCTACCACCGCTGTGCTTCAGCGCACAGATGGCACCTCGTATGGATGACGTCATGCGCCTGTGCTGTGAAATTTCGGCTCATGACCAGATCAAAGTGGCGGTGAAAAGCTCCGCCAAAGGAGCGGCGGTGGCGGGGGGTACAGCGTTCGTCGGCGGGCTGCTCGGTGGACCCGCGGGGATTGCTGTCGGTAAGGACCAGAACACAGGAAACAAAACAGGAGTTGTATTTATTTAAACTAAAATGCACCCCTTTTGAATGGTATAAAGTAGTATAGGACGTTCAGTTTGTATCCCATTCTGTGAATTGCCATTGTGTCATCCCCTACTTCTAGACAACCCATACTGAAGCAGCGCAGCTATGACTTTTCTCTTATCGTAGAAATGTTTTTTTCTTAAAGAGAACCCGAAGCTTCAGCTGAATGTTTTGCTCTGTACACTTTGACACGTTGTAGGGTAATAAATAATGTGGTAACGCTGAACATTGCCGCCTGGTGGTAGCAACAACACACTGCATCCATTTGCCATTAAAACACAGCAGTAATAACAAACAAACTTAAATCCTGTAATCAGCGACCTTCTTAGAAGTGTGATGAAATGACTTGGCTACTGCTAGTGATCCCTTTGCAAAAAGTATTTTATTCAAGTGTACAGAGTATGCTTATTTTATGTTAAAAATATGACTGTCTACTTAAAGTTAATATTTTTATAAATGATATTTTACCTACTTAAGAATAGAATAGTGAAGTATACTTGACTTGTACTGACAAGTATAAAGATGATTCTTTATACTATTCTTTATACTATATTCTTAATTTGATAAGAATAAGTATATCAATACTAAACTTATACTTTAAACACTGAAGCTTATTCCTGTACTTTGGTATACTTTTTTCTACGTACTTAGTATTATCTATCCAAGTACAGAATTAGGGAGTTATTTACTTGTGTTTACATTTAATATGGCACGATAACAATGTTTCCCACTACACAAATTTGCCTTTCCCCTGTTATAAACTGGCATGTTCAAGATCATATGGTATTGAGAAATCATAAAAGCAATTTTGCTTTTAGAGATTTTTATATTTGCTTCTGAGCATGTGCACTTACCTTTGACATTTTCCTGATGAGGAAGGACCTTGGTTCTCTGTTGGAGACACAATTTGTTTATATTTCATAAGCAAATACAAACTGTTCCCTCTATCATTTTTGACAAAGAAGTACTTCATCCTGGAGAGACCGTTGGGCACATTTCACTTTCATTTTCATTCAGTTAAAAGAGATTGAACTCAAGTATTTACAATAAATACCAAACAACCGTTAGCCTGGCCAAAAGTGTGCCACTTTTGCCAGAGGTATTTCTTGCTATTTTAATAGTTTTATTGTTATAATACTATATGTATACTTGTAAGATCACCTAACATATTTGTACCATATTATTTACATGCTAAAATATACCTTTTACTGTACTGAAGTTAACCCACACTGTATGTACACTACACTGCAGTGTATTAATAAAATTACAAGACAGAATGTTGAGAAACTTTAAAATACAATACAGTGTATTACAAATATACATTTAAATGATTAAATATGTGCATTTCAAGAACCTCTAGAAATCAAGTTTTTGTAGTTGAAAAGAAAATGAGAGGAAAATGTGTCTGAAAATGTAAACAAAGAATCATTCTTTGTCAAAAATGATAGAGGAAACAGTTTACATCTGCTCATGAAAATGTAAACAAATTGTGTCTTCAACTTATCAAAAACAGGTCAAAGGAATGTGAACATCTTCAGAATTAAAACTGCAGATCTCAATAGAAACAAAAACACTTGTTATGGTTTCTGTTCTACATGATGTATGATTAAGTTTAACAGGAGTAATACCTCAAATTAAATGTGTAATGGAAAACATTTTTATTGTGCCATATTAAATGTAATCAAGTGTCAATTATTTTCTTATGCTGTACTTGGATAAATATACTAAGTGCTAGAACTTTGTAACAGAAAAAAGTCTAAAGTATGCATACCGCTTTAAAGTCTCAATTAATGGTCTTCATCCATAAAGACTGAAAATAAAAATGATTTAAAATGGTACAAAACATTTCAGTGTTCCTCCAAACCCAGTCAGAGATGCAGACAGGAAATGTGTCTGTTACTAAGCGCAAAGAAGGAAGTCACATAACAACAAGGGTTAGCTTCCCATGGTTCCAAAGCTAAAATGGATTTTTTATTAACCTATTTTGAAGAACTAAAAACATTAGTGTTTGTTTGCATATTAGTGTTACTAATGGTGTAACCAACCCTCTGTGTGTCTGTGAGGCGGGGCGGTGGGGGGTCTGCTGGGCAGCTGGCTAACCAGTGGTCAGTTCAGGCCTCTGCCTCAGATCCTGATGGAGCTGCCGCCCAATCAGAGGGAGCAACTATACCGGGACATCAACGGCGTCCTGGGCAGCCTGGACTGGATGGACGCAGCCCAGCTCATCGCCCTGGTGATGGGCAATGCCACACTGCAGCAGCAGGTCACTGCCGCCCTGCTCAACTACGTCTCAAAGGAACTCAGAGCGGAGGTGCGGTATGGGGACTGAGCTGGGGCTCAACACGGACCTCAGGCATTCCCAGTGGCAGATGCTGGTGTTGTCAGGGAGACACTGGGAACAATGGCTGCCTCAGCCTGTTAGTACTGTAGGAAAACAAAATAATGTTTTCTGTGCAAACTTCATTCCTAATGTTTTACATCTTGTTGATTTAATCCCACATTTTCTCTATTTCAAACTATGCTGCCTTTTGTTTATTTGAAGTGTCAATAAGTTTTTATTATTTCAGTTCAAGGTCACCTTCATTTAAAAAAAAAATTAAAATTAATGAACAAATCAGTGAAGTGATCATCAGTAGCTCAGGTTGATAACTGAAGAACAAAGCAAGAATTCACAGCATTCACTCCAAAGTTAGAAAGTAAAGACTGTAATGATCAAGCTTCTTTTATCTAAATAACAAAATGAATATACAGTTCAGGCTGAAATTATTCAAACCACAAGTGAATCTAAACTTAAAATGATCTCATGTGCCTTCTGGCTGGAAGTCATGTTAATGTTATGGATCGGCCCAGACAGTCCTGAGCATAAAGGTTAGGGTGATGGTAAAGAGGCCTTCCAACCTCAAAGACCTGGAAGGCATCAGAAATAAATAATGAAATAGAAAGAAACGTCATACTTGATTTCTCTATTGATTATTGAAAAGGGTAGAAATTATTTTTGATGTGCCTTTTTTGCTCAAACTAAATAAAACTTATTTTTTCAAAACTGATGCACATTTTTAAGTTTTGATTATGTTTCTTTCTTCTTGGACATAAACTTGTTGGGATAAATCATTTTTTTCCTTTGGACAGATCAGTCTTCATCCAGTAGAGGGCAGTAGAATAATAGATATGCGTTGAATTTGATTTCAAAACTTTATTTGGTAAAAACTTCAGATTCACACAATGCAATGACATTTAAACATAACAGAAAATCCTGACTTTTTTTCTAGAAACAGCCCTTTTTTGTCAGGCACAAAACATGGCGACAGAATTCTAATGATAAGGCACAAAATGAAGCTCAAAATAAAACGGCACTCTTATGAAATTTAATTATCACATAGTTTGGCGTTGTTCTGTAGGCTTTAGGTGAACATATGCAAATGTTTGCCAACCTGAAAATTAAAAAAAAAAGTTGCCTCTGGACTTAGCTGGACTCCTGTTGACATCAATATGGAAACGATTAGTTCTTGTTTTTTACTTTAAATTGAACATTATTCAGTTGTCAGACATACTGGTAGGTTTTATTCAACCACACTGATTTGATTTGATTGATTTTAACCCAGTCATCAGGCGTTCTCTTCCAGAAACTAATTTCTCTGACATTTGATCAACATCAGAGGAATTCTGACCTCAGAGCTCTGAAAGATACACGGATGGCCAAAAAACAAAAGAGGTTCAGTCAGACGATATTAATGAAAAAGCTAATGTCCTGGAATCCATGACACAAGTTCACATTTGTATTAAAGCTCAGCAAGCAGAGGAAACTTCCATACATTCAGACTGGAAAACAAACATTCTGTAGATGTGCAAAACTGGTAGAGGCTTGGAATTGCAGCAAAACATAAGTATCGACTCAAAGGTGTTGAATACAAATGAACATCACACTTTAGATTTTGAATTGGATATATTGTTGCATGAAATCCTAACATTAAAGGGGCAGTATTGTGTTTTTTGGGCACATGTAGAACAATCAAGAAGCTAAAGAGTACTATACATATCAAATATGACTTAAAGGAAAATTGGCTTCATAATTTAATGCTATGAAATTGGGCATCTGTCTCTTACAAAACTCTGTCTTCAGGAAGTCATCACAACATGGCTGCTCTATTAACTCTTTAACAACACTTTTACCTCAGTTAGTAACTAAGAAGAAGCTCATATAATGAGCTCAGGCTGAGCTCTTTATATCAGCTTCTCAGCAGATGCACAGTTGAACCAGGTGTTTACTAATTGCTGCTGGCTAGTCTGAAGGAGCTGAGTAGAGCATTAGTGGCAGATGGCTGCTCTGTGAAGCAGAAGCTTGTAAATTGCAGCTCTGAGGAGGAGCTGTACCTCTAAGGCGGGGCTAGGTCCACTCACACATTTTGAACAGCTGAATGGTTGCCATGGAGATTAAAGGATTTCTCAAACATGCATGAAAGAATCAAGACAACACTTCAGGTGTGTTTGTGGTGAGGGAATAACATTACAACATGATGTGAAGCTTAAAAACGTCAATTTACATAATACAGCCCCTTTAAATAAAGTCTTTGTGGGAATAAAAAATGTAGAAAAGTGACAAGAATAAGCTAAAAGGCCCTGCAGTAAAAGACTGGCACTGTGTGTGTGGGGAGAGGATGTTATCTGGCCTGATCTGCAGTATTAAACGGACCTAATGTTCCCCTTGGTGTTCTGTAGAACGAAGAAGAGACGGAAAAACAGGATCAGTGTCAAACTGGATCACAGTGCTTCTGAAAACCTTTAACACAACTAAACAAACACCACTGTAGAAAGTATCTTCACTCAGTTTACTGACTACAGTGCAGCTCTACACATGAAACCTACCCAGAGTTCAAAGCTTCAGCTAATCTCCAAACCAGCGGAGTGAATCACTGAAACCAAAACCTGAAACACACAACTTATGAATTTGTAACTCAAGACAGCTACCCGCTACAACATGTCTGGATCTAATTCATCAGTCATCACCTATCACACTTATATTTCGTTTTTCTCATTTAAAATATTCAGAACCTTATGAACTGAACTGTTTATTGTTGGAAGGAGGAGGATCTGTTCAACCCTAATCTAACAATGCGTACCTCAGTTATCTACTTTAACAATTTGTCTTTATAGTTAAAATATTTTTAATGGCTGATGAAGAGAAATAATTATAAAACTGTAATTTGTGACATTCTATTTCTTATAATTGTGAGTTTATGATCAAACCACCATAATCCTGACCTACACCTGGTAGGTGTTATTTATTAAAGTCATATAAATATTATGTGTGGTTTGTACAAAATGAGAATCCCGAGTGGGAAACAAGCAAAATTACAAAGGAGCAACTGGTGTGAGGAGGTAGCAGGGTGCAACAGGGGGATATGGGTAACGGCAGCACTTTCCTTCAACGTCACCAACATTAAAATAATGACAATGCTGATTAAATTCACAATACATGTGGAGCTGAAATGCTGCAAGTAAACAGCAAAACTGATCAGACGTCATTTGCTTAATAAATCACCAATTGAATATTATGGCATTAAAACTTCAATTCACAGCATAAACAAACAATGTTCACGTTGGAAACAACAGAATCGGAGAGTATGTGAAAACGTTCAAGGCTGCAGGTGGAAAAGCAGCAGTGCTGCAGTCACATTACTCAGAGGTCACTGGTCTCCCTGGTTCTCTAATGTTCAGCTGTTTTCAGCACGTCATAACATGACAGTGAGCTCATCAGGCTTTGATTTCATGGATCAGAACAACCAGACAACGTCTGGAGGCTGATTTCAAGAGAAGTCAGGTAGTCTGACTGTTTCTTCTCTAAGGTTAACGTCACTTTCTAATCCAGCCATGAGCAAAAGGCAGCAGCAACACGTAAACAGTACAGCTATGGGATTCTAGTTTAGCTGAGTGGTGAAAAAAAGTGAACCTAAAAATGAGATATGGGATAAAATTATTAGGGGGAAATGTTCCTGTAGAGCTGCAGTTAAAGAGTTTTTTTTTATCATTAAAAAAAGGTGTAAAAATAGGCATTCTTTAAGCAAATATAAAAACAGACAAGCAAACTGACTAATGGAGAAATATTTCTAGTTGGACATTAAAAAGAAATGCTTTAGGACAAAATAAAAAGAATGTGGCAGTGCTTTAAAGGCTGTTCACACCAACAACCAACTCCAGTGATTCCACTGGAAATTGTTATTTCAACATCAGAAAAGACATAAAGGCATCCAACGATGTGGTTGGTTGATTTAAAACACAGCTAGAAAAGTCTAATATATGGCAGTGACATAACTGTACAGTGTGCTGTTGATGGTCCACCTCTCTAATTGACTTTTCATGACCAGCAGAGTTCCTGTTCTTGGCGTGAGCAAACATGTATAGAATAAAAATAGAGTTGAGGTTTTTTTAAAAGCTGGTTCCATTGAACATTTAAAGGCAGTCAGGAGAAAACTGATAAAACCCGTCAGAACAGACCAACAGCTACTTTGAGTTAGCAACAACTTAAACTCTGTATCACTGATGCATAAGTTGCTACATAAGGTGTCTAGAGGTGAAAAGCTCTGGCCACAGACATAAAAAAAAAATCTAGCTGCAGTGTTACTTGTCTACGTTGTTAAAATAACACGTCAGTATATGTGCAAAACACAAACGCTAACAATTATCTAACGCAGGTAAAACACTGACTGCTCAAAACTTCTCAATAGAACCCATCTTCAAAAAACTCTGAATTATCCCTTTAGAAATAGACCATTGTATCGTCTGTGAAGCATTTCTCAAAAGTGACCTGGGAGTTCTCTATTTAGACATAAACATGTTATTTCAATCACAGTCCCTGTAAGATGATACTAGAAAACAGCTGTGGTTGTTAGAAAACTCCCTTACTGGAAACAAAACCCACACTTACAAAATATGTTTTTTTATAAATACCTAAGAGGGATTGTTCCTCCTGAGACGACATGTAACAAACAGCTGAAGTGTTGCCGTTCTCTGTGAGCGACTTGTGTAATCTATTTTGTAAGCCAACAAGTACAGAATGATTGTGTGAAACACTCCCAGACCAACAACCCGGACTCTCAGTACCGGCGGCTCAGGCTGCCAGGCCAAACCATGAGCCTCATCACAGTGTGAGGACAGACACAACGCAGCTTTAAAGCAGTGAGGCATTACTAGAGTTATGTGCAAAAAAGACTTTTCCCTCTCACTAGGATATAAAGCATGTAAATAAAACAAAAAACGTACACTGTACAATACATCTTTTTTTGATTTGAAGTGAGAGTAAGAAAGTGTAAAAATGCAGGTGCTGTGTGGAGGCTAAAACTGTTCTGACAGCAGCTCACACAGCCGCTGAGATACGGACTCCTTACTGGTCCGCAAGGTGAGGCGGTACATCTGGAAGAAACGGAAATGAATCAGCCAGTTAGCATTTGTATGATGGCCCCAACAGGAATGTTCATTCAGTTCAAATCTGTTGATTTCTCTAGCATCTATTTGCTACAAATGTCATTTTACAAGGCATTTTATGAGACAATCAGATCCAATTCAATAGACATGATGACAACTGTCAGTCAATCCAACCGGCTCTTGATCCCAGATTTACCCAGAGCATTTAGAGTTCAGGATAAAGTTTATTCCAAAACCCAAACAGAGTCTGGAAAAATCGAAAAGATGGAGAAATGGCAGCAGCTGAACACTATAACATGTTCATCTGCATGAAGGTAACCGCAAGTAAATCTACCGATTTTTGTCATCATTACATTTTGTACTTAAATCAAAGACTATTGCATCACGCTGGGTCCAGAACAATAAATGTGAGCTGTGGCTACAAATAGGAACAGTTTCTTTGCAAAGCAGTAACTTTTCAAACAGGTGGTACAAACATCCACACAGTCTGTTACACTGTCATGTGTGGAAGCTCGTCAGA